CTGGAAAGCAACTTCCCTGGTTCAAAGATCCACTCTATGAACTCATTTAATCCAGCCTTAGTATGGGGTCAGATACACCCACAAAATAGTAATTCTCTAATGATAACTGAGAATCCCAATAATAACTTTCTTCATGAGGGTCATAACTGACTTGATTAGGTTCTATAAAATTCCACATCTGGGAAGACATGACTTTTATTTTCCAGTGACCGAGATTAAAATAATTTTAGTTTATAAAATAGTCTCCAGGATTTAATGCAGACTTGAAGTGGGAGTGTGTGCAGCTTCCTGGAATTACTGAGTTCAGTATCGCAGGTTTCTGCCCTCCCGAGCTCATCTTTGCGTCTCTACATTTTAATCTTTCTCTAACAGCCTCATTATATGATGTTTGGGAGACCAACTGGCTTATCATTATGATTGCTATAGCTAGTTTAACACGAGATTAAAGAACTAAAATATAGTTGGAGAGGATATTTATGTCCTCTGCGGGTGTGTAAGTCATGACATAAAAAAGCTGCAGTTTATTTCTTAATATGAGGAAATTAGATAATTTCATATCAGACTCGCTGAATCAGGCAGCTGTCGACAGCGAGGAGCACAGATGTAAATCAGAGGAGCAAACAGATTTGGGCATTTAAAAATGGAATGCACAGTAGGAATTTAATCAGCACATTTGCCAATATAATATTCCCTTTGAAGAGAGGTTTCTTTCAGAAAGATACCTCCAGTTGTCTGTATGGAGATGCATTAGTTAAAGTGACAGCATGGCTTGAGGTTCCAGCAGAAGTTTAGAATTCAACCTCTCTGTGTGTGACCTTAGGGCACACTCTCCGCCCCTCATTTATCTTAACTGTCCTTGCAGGATCCAAAGATGATGTCTATTTAGACTTCTTAGTTTCTTTAAAGAAAAGTACCAGATAAGGATGTCTTTTCAGTTATCTAGTCACTGATACTTAATGAGCTGCTAATCACTAACTGATGAAATGCCCAACATCAATTTGGTGACCATCAATTTAATATGAGGACAAGAATAGAGCTGCGGGGGCGGGAGACAAAGAGAAAGCGATCCATTCAATTATGCATTGAGTGTCTGGGTTCTAGCCCTGTACCAACTGCCAGGAATTTTTGAAGTGAGTGACAGTTTTTTTTGTTTGTTTGTTTTGTTCTGGAGATGCTCAGAGGCACACAACTGATAGCTTTACATTTACTTGGAAAAACAGATTACATACCCTAAAGATAAGGTAAGGCACTACAGGTCAACCCACTAGCCACCAAAGAATCTCTACAGTGCACATTTATTAAACTTCATTATTATTAAACTTTATTATTCTTATTGATAGTAATTTATGATAATTAGGGTGGAGACTCTTTGCCAGCTGGTGGAAAATATTAAAAATGTAATCAAGGTATAGAAAGTGCATTTCCATTACTGTCCTGTTCGGTGTGGTTTCCGCCCTTCTGAGGTCCTTTCAGCTTTACAGTCTTTTCCTAAGAACCACATGGTATCCGTTTGTCAAGAACAACGGACTTGTACTAACCACAGGCATAATGCCCAGGAAGTCTAATATTTCAGAAAACAAACCCCATGGAAGAAAAGTGTTTTCTGACAGATGACAAAGAGACATTGTAAAATTTGGCACAGTTTGAGAAAGTTACTTTAGTATATGTTTTCTTTTCCTCTTACTGACGACCCAAAAAATACCTAGAGAGTGAAAAACGATCTGCAGGTTGTGTTCTAAAGCCTATTTGCAGGTCAGTTTTATTGGATTTGCCACATTACCACAGAAATCTTTTTCTATGAAGGATCTAGTTTCCAAGACAGTGCATAAAATCTAGATAACTTGTGATAGAAATGAAAAATTCCACAAATACAGTCTTTTGGAAACTCTATCAGTTGCTACATTCATGAAAGCCTATGAGTTCTGTGAGGATTTTTATATTTTGTGTTTTTATTGTGATGACAATCTAAAAAATACAGTCACATTCTGGAATATCTAAATGAACACTCATGTAATTCTCTAAATTATTTCTAATTATTTTTTCTTATAATTGATTTTTAAATATAGTTTATTGATTATGCTATTACAGTTGTCCCATTTTTCTCCCTTCACTCCCCTCCACCCTGCACACCCTCTTCCTACCCACGTTCCCTCCCTTTAGTTTATGTCCATGTCATAATTATAAGTTCTTTAGCTTCTACATTTCCATACTGTTCTTACCCTCCCCCTGTCTATCTTTCTACCTACCATCTATGCTACTTATTCTCTGTGCCTTTTCTCCCTCTCTCCTCCTCCCACTCCCCTGTTGCTAACCCTCCATGTGGTCTCCATTTCTGTTGCTCCACCCTGGTGAACACCTAAGGCTCCACCCCTCACTGTGTAACAGACGTGCTGAGACGACAAAAAAAAAAAAATGGCCCAAACAAAAGAACAAATCAAAGCTCCAGAAATAATACAACTAAGTGACAAAGGGATAGCCAACCTATCAGATGCACAGTTCAAAGCACTGGTGATCAGGATGCTCACAGAATTGGTTGAATTTGGTAGCAAATTAGATGAACAAATGAAGTCTATGCTAAGTGAAATAAAATAAAAGAAAATATACAAGGAACCAATAGTGATGGAAAGAAAAATGAGACTAAAATCAATGGAGTGGACCAGAAGGAAGAAAGAAACAACCAAACAGAAAAGAAGAAAGAAACAAGAATTCAAAAAAAATGGGGAGAGGCTTAGGAAACTCTAGAACATTTTTAAACATCCCAACATCTGAATTATAGTGGTACCAGAAAGAGAAGAGGAAGAGCAACAAGTGGAAAACTTATTTGAACAAATAATAAAGGAGAACTTCCTCAATCTGGCAAAGGAAATAAACTTCCAGGAAGTCCAGGAAGCTTAGAGAGTCCCGGTTGTAGACCGCTCTGCCTGGTTCTAGAAATTATATCTTGATCCCTTGTGGCTAAGGGTGAGGGATGACCTTTGGAATATAAGTCTCAGGAGACAAAGCTTGCCTCTGGTAGCAAATGCTGCCTCAGTTTCCTTTCACTGCCCCCAAAGCTTGGTCAGAAGTCAATGACGGGTATGACCCCTCATAGTGGGGGGCAATCTAAGCCAGACTAGATCACTTGGGAGGTCTTCATGGAAGGACTCGGGGGGCTGCAACAAAGAACGATGGACTTGCCCCCCAGCTTTGTCAAAGCCCGAGTTCCCATATTTTCTGGGAGAAGTGCTTCCTGGCTCTAATCCTCTTAAGCCTGAATACCTGATGGGGAGAGGTGCAGCTCCTGCCTTGCTAGAGCGTGTCCTGGGGAACAATCTGGCATCACAAAGACTTGCTGATAAACCTGTGAAATCTGCTCTGCTAAGAGTGCTTTCATTCATATGTTAAGGGTTCGAGCAGGAAACCCTAAAAGTCTGTTCCTGACAGACTCACTCATACTAAGCCCTCAGATTTCTTTGCAGTGTTATCTACTGTTTGATCCTTGCCACCCTGTATTCCTGTGTATTACAACCAAATAAAAGACCCTGGAGGAGGGGGCTCGAGGCCTTTTTCTCCTCGGAGAAACTGGCCACTGCTCACTTCTCCTCTCCAAGCAGATCACATCATGTCTCGTTCATATTTACTCTCCATCATGGCACACGGGGGACTTGTGGGGAAAGTCGCCCCCCTAAGTCCCAAAGAGGTATTTATAATTATCTTTATAATACTTTTGTCTTGTGTTATTGTAACCATAGGGAAATCTTATTTGCTTCAGTTTGCCCTTTATTTTGATTTTTTCCCATCGTTTCAAACTGACCTCATCCAGTGTCCTGACTCACCTGCCTCCCTCTCCCTTGCTCAAGCATTAAGCCTTCAGGACAAGGAGGTTCTGGTTGGCATCCTGTAGTCGTAGGAACAAAGTCCTGGGTCTACTGACTACAGAGACGGAGTTTTCAATCAAACTAAACAAAATATCTCGACCTCAGTCGTGTTTTAGCTCCAGACCCAGGAAAGCAGAACGATCCCACAGGACGAGTCCTTTTAGAGTTAGACAGAGCAACTCCATGGCTGACATCAGGACCCGACGCAATGATCAGCGACCCTCTACCCTAGCACCAACCTAGCAGACAGACCACAGCCCTAACTGCTTTAGTCACAGTGATTAGTGACTTTTCCCCTCTATAATTCATCCCCTGGAAGCCATCGGGGAGCCTGGTCTTTGAGCATGAGCTACCTGTGACTCCAGGCATGCTCCATCTTACTAAATCCTTATTTTCATGGCTGCAAACTCCTGTTCATGTTATTGGGCTTTAACATGCACAGGCGAAGGGACCCCTTTAGTGCAGTAACATTATCATCTAATGTAACCTTATTAGAAGTCTAATGTGTATATTGGCTAATAGCTGGCTGCCATTTGATTGGCTTGCCTTGGAAAATTTCGTATAACAAATCCGGATATCTGGATTTTTTTTGAAGTCAGAAAACACGGTTTTTATGGGTCTGCTGGTCCCTGTGGCAGTACTAGAGCTGAGCAGGGGCTATTTGTCACACAGACCCTCTGTCAGATACAGTTTCCAGCTGTATTTGATAAGCATTAGCATTTGTGTTTCCCAATCCAAAGCAATGACATGTACTTCCCAGGATGTGATGGCAGTATTCTGAGAAAAGAGGATCGACCCCTTGGCATATGCTGCTTGTAAAACAAACATCTGTGAGTAGGGGCTTCTACTGGACGTGGCTCCTCTGCCGGGCAGCATCATACTCTTTTCTGTAATCAGAGCTTGGTACATAGCTTGAAATAGAAATAGAAACTAACCCTTAGAAACTAATTTTAAATCAGTGCATGCATAGACCTAGAGGCTTGCTGAGTGCTCCCCTCCCCCACCACAGCCATTCCCCAACCTAACACATAATACCCGTCTCTCATCCAGTATGTTTCCTTCCCTATTATTAATTTTATTCATTTTTACTTCATTAATATTTAAAGATCATTGCAGTTATCTACTGAAAAGGGCAACGCTTACCACCAACCATGCAAAGGTAAATTCAGAGGAAATTTCTGAGGTGATATTTTGAAAGCATGGTATTTCCAGAGTCTGATTCAGCTCTACTTCTTTTGTATTGTTTCTTCTCCATTCATCCTGTGTAACTGTAACAAAACGCAAGGTGAAAAAGACATGGATCTGGGACTGGTTTATGAAGCACTTTTTATCAAAGGAATGAGAACCATTTTAGTAAAAGATTTATCTATCCTCAGGGTATACCTATGGAGTAACAAGGCAAAATCCCATTATAGTCCTTACCATATACATGGCAAAACACACTGAAAAGTTATCGATAATCTGTCCTAAAAGAATCCAGCTCACAATTTGACATGTTTTTCTGCTTTACCTGCAAATTCATGCTTTAGTCTTCAGATCACATTTACTTAATCAGACAGAGTATAAAACATTGAAACTTAGCCTCTCTCTTTTTAAATGTTAATAGACACATTTCTAAGTCTGAACCTAAAACAGCAAAATGAGTGGAAAGTACAGAGAGTTCCCATGTGACCCTTGGCCCCTTGCCTGCACGACCTCCCCCACTGTTAACATTCCTCACAACAGCCCACGTTTGTTACAATCAGTGAACATACCCTGGCATGTCATCGTCACCCAAAGTGTGCAGTTTATTTACATTAGGGTTCATCCTTGGTGTTGTAGAGTCTGTGGTTTTAGACATATGTATAATGACGTGTTCACTGTTTTGTTATCATACAGAATAACTTCACTGCTTTCAAAATTTTCTATGCTTCATATATTCATCCTCCCTCCCACTAAACTACTATCAACTCCTCATCTTTTCCCTGTATTCACAGTTATAATTATAAAGCTTATGAACATTTCTTCAAAGAAGGAACGATACAGAAAAAAATATAAGGAAAGTCTGAGGAAGCATCATTAATAATTAGGTAGTTATATTTTTAAAGTGATGTGGGATAGATAGCTGTCTATAGTGTTTTGAGGGGGGAAATTTTTATATACATATATACCCATTTTTGATTAAACTCTAATGGCATCAAAGAATAAATTATAATGAAAACAACTTTATAATCCTAAAATCCTGAAAATCTTTTCATATTTATATAAATCTTGTTTGTATACGTGTTTCTCATACTTTGCGGTCCTATGAACCAACAAATACTACCTTTCATTTTTATTAAAAATGTTTTGCATGATTCTTAAACTATTTGTGGTTGGGATTTTTAGAGGCTTATGTCATTCTGTCATAGAAAACCGTCATTATTTGTTTAGTCACTTTCAACTATTGAGTAATCATGCTCTTTCATTTGGGGCTTTTGCTTTACTTAGACTATTACAATCTATTAATATGTAGCAAAGATCATTCTTATGCTAATAACTTTCTTCTGACCATTCAGCTACTTCAGAAAAATTCTCAGAAGCACAATTAATGAATCATGGGGTATGAACATTCTCATTATTAACAGTATACCAGTATGTCTCAGTTTGAGAATGTTATGTCTAGCCTTTAGAACTTCATTATATTTTAATCTCTCATAAATTCCAGCTATTCTTTTTACTCTGTCCTCTTTCTATCCTTGATTAAAACCAGACTGTCTCATTAGGGAACATCACCCCTGCCTCGTTCTCAAACAGTGCTTGTTTATTTCCTTGTACCCTTGTTTCCTCAAGATCAGGAGGCGGGTCAGTGCCCTCCCTGCTCTCCACAGCTACTTCCAACTATTACTCCAACTGCTTAACTTAAAAAACAGTCTGTCTTTTATGGTTAAAGGTGTTTAGCTATAACAATACTTCCAAGTAGAATTATTAATATACCACTATCACAATTTTTGCCATATTTGCATACTGCCATATTTGATTTTATTCTTGCAATTATTGTAATTGTTTTACTTACGTACATTTATTTTATTTTTAAAAAATATTTTATTTCTTTAATTTTAGGCAGAGTAGAAAGAAGAGAGAAAGAGAGGGAGAGAAATATCAATGTGTGGTTGCCTCTCATATGCCCCATACTGGGGGCCTGGCCCACAACCCAGGCATGTACCCTGACTGGGAATCGAACAAGGAACACTTTAATTCACAGTACTTACATGAATTATTTTAAACAGAGACTTAGCTAGGCATTAGTATTTGTGATCTACTTTATATGTTAAGTATAGTTTAAGGTATATTATCCAAATATGTTAGTTTTAGATTTTTGTAAATTTTGTTATATCCTGAGGTTGTCACTGAGGAATTAAAAATCTGTCACCATACAATAAAATAAATTTAAAGTAGATAAAAGACTTAAATATAAGCCGTGACACCATTAAAGTTCTAGAGGAGAACATTGGCAAGAAAATCTCAGATATTTCATGCAGCAACATTTTTACTGATATGTCCCCTTATAGCAAGGGACATAAAGAAAAGAATAAACAAATGGGATCTCCTCAAAATAAAAAGTTTCTGCATGGCTAAAGAAAACAGTATTAAAATAAAAAGAGAACCAACAGTATGGGAAAACATATTTGCCAATGATACCTCAGACAAGGGTTTAATCTCCAAAATATACAAAGAACTTACACGACTCCACTCTAAGAAGACAAGCAACCTAATTAAAAAGTGGGCAGAGGACTTGAACAGACATTTCTCCAAGGAGGACATACAGAGGATCCAGAGACACATGGAAAGATGCTCAGTATTGCTAGCTACAAGAGAGATGAAAATTAAAACCACGATGAGATACCACTTACACCGGTCAGAATGGCCATTATAAACAAAGCAACAAACAAGTGTTGGAGAAATTATGGAGAAAGGGGGACCCTAATCCATTGTTGGTGGGATTGCAGACTGGTATAACCACTGTGGAAAACAGTATGGAATTTTCTAAGAAAACTAAAAATGGACCTGCCTTTTGACCCAGCAATTCCACTGCTAGGATTATATCTCAAGAACCCTGAAACACTAATCCAAAAGAACCTATGCACACCAATGTTCATAGCAGCATAATTTACAATAGCCAAGAGTTGGAAGCAACCTAGGTGCCCATCAGTAAATGAATGGATCCAAAAACTATGGCACATTTACACAAGGGAATTCTATGCAGCAGAAAGAAGGAAGGAGCTCCTACCCTTTGCAACAGCATGGATGGAACTGGAAAGCATTATGCTGAGTGAAATAAGCCAGGCAGTGAAAGACAAATACCATATAATCTCACCTTTAACAGGAACCTACTCAACAAAATAAAGAAGCAAGCAAAATACAACCAAAGACACTCAAATAGAGAACAGGATGACAGTGACCAGAGGGGATAGGGGAGGGAATTTCAGGGGAAAGGGGGAAGGATTTACAGGAACTAGTATAAGGACACATGGACAATAACTAAGGGGGTGGAAATGGGAGGGAGGTGGGGAGCACTGGGGTGTTGGGCTGGGTTGGGAGTAAAAGACAGAAAACTGTACTTGAACAATAATTAAATAAAAAACAAAATAAAAATAAAAATCTAAATAATATTTTTTAAAAATCTGTCAAAAACAATAACCTAAAATATAATATCAAACATCAGGAAGCAATTTGATGGGATTGAAATTTATTGGACATCACAAAAGATGGGCTCATGAGTTAGAAAATAGGTCAACAGAGAATTTCTAAAGACAATCACAGAAAAGAATAAAATAGCAAATATAGAAAAAGCCATTAGGGATGTATATAAAACTAGGTACTTTTTTTTTTACACTTGAAACCTAATATTACAAATTTAAATGTTAATTAAAAAAACAATGCAAGTGTTAGAAATAACATTTCTGAATTTCTATGTAATCTGGAAAAAGAAAAAATTTTTCTATGATTCATAACAAGCCCAAGAAGAAAAAGGAGTGATAGATTTTATTTCATAAAAGTACATTTTATTGTGCACTGAAAACTTTATCTTTACAAAGTAAGGATAGATGACAAACAGAAAGTATTTGCAACTTTTATCATGAAGGGTTAAAGCTTTTATATATGGGACATTTTCAGCATCATAAAGATAATAACTATAGTGAATCAAAACTCATTAATGTTTTTAAATTCATGTGAATTCATGACACTTAGCACAAAATACTGTCATTTAAGAGTGCTCGTGAACCCATTTATTTTTACAATTGGTAAATGGAAAGAATCAATTAAGTGTCTATTTTGCTTTTCACATTCAAACTATACATCAGATAAATAACTGGTGGATGAGAGGAACTTACTCTTTATAGAAATAATCCAGCTAATAAATGAAGGAATGATAGGATTAGAACATTTATTTGGCTATGCATAATGAATTAATAGATCCAGGCAATATTCCTCAGTGGCTGTTTATATTATACAGCCAAACATTATGTGCCTCTGATGAAATTATACAATATTATATATGTATTCCTGCCAAAAAACACTATAAAAACAAAAACCTTAATGTGATCAAATCTCTGAATCTAACAAAAATCTGAAAGAGGAACATGTAAATACTGTGGGGATAATCAGGCTGTAGATAATCAAATTTACTCAAATGAACACATTACCAAAAAAAGGAAGTATAAAATGGTCTTCAGATTAAAGAATTTTATTAAATAATTGCAATACTTTTACCGTATTTGGCTCTTAATTTAAACAAAATGTAAAAATAAAAATTATAAGGCCAACTGGATATTTGATAACATTAAGGACTTAACTGGGTTTTCTTTTTAAAATTCTGGCAGTGGCATTGTGGCTATTTTTTTCCTTATCTTTTAAAGACATTCTTTTAAAAATTCTTTTTAAAATTGTAATTGTTCAAGTACAGTTTTCTGTCTTTTTAAAGACTTATTCTTTAAATGATAAGAAAACATCCTTATCTTTTAAAGACTTATTCTGAAATGAATTGGATATCTTTGATTTTTTTTAAAGCAATCTGTGAGGGGGCAGTTGATAAGAGTTTTAATGAAATAAGATGGTCTATGAGTGGATAATTGTTGAAGTTGTGTGGTTAGTACCTGAGATCTCATGATACTGTTTTATATAATTTTACATATGTTTGAAATTTTCCACAACTAAGAATTTTAAAGTTTTTTCATTACCCACTTAAAATCATTTCAGGTAGTACTTCCAGCTATATGTAACACACTTTGAGAAAAACTAAACAATC